ATTCCATACTTGGACAACGCTTCCCAAGTGAAGAGCCTTAATAATATGTCCTTGTTGCTTCTTTGAGTTCGATAAATAGCTATTTTATTTAATTAATTGATTTTTTTTAGCAATTCCATGCAAATGTCAACACACCCATGAAAAAAATTATTAAATGAGATCAAGTTTACCAAAATAGTGAAACCCTTTCTACATTGTTTGCTTGGGCAGTCCCATAAAAATACTTAAAATATCTCGGTCAGTGATAACTTGTGGTCACACAAGTTGCAATATTACATCTGTCACATCCATAACAGAGAAGTGTCCCATCCATAACAAAGGTTTTTCCTCATAAATGCAAAATTGCCAAATAAAATCAGTCGTTTTTGTTCTTTAGTAAGTCAACTCTTATTCTTTTGATTAGCGGTATTTCTTTGGGTTGTGCAGTTTAATTCACAAAATTTCTACAAAGTATGTTGTGTACTGTAAACTCACATCATTTTATTTTTGGTAACATCCATAACGCATGTTTATTTTCCTCATTTAAAATATAAAAAATGTTTACAGATTGATATTTTCCTGATCCCACAACTCTGTGGTTAGTTGTTTTAGAAATCATGATGCCTACATATACTTTCTCTGTGAATTTGTTTTAAGCTTTTACTGCAAATGTCACCATCCATAATGCTGGAATTGCTTTTTTCCATTTTGCAGAAGTCCAATGAATAACTTTAAGTACCTGCAACCCCGCTCAAACCTTAACATCTCCACCACAGTGCATAGGCTGCACAATCACATATCAAATCTTGTCCCGGTTGCATGGGGTTCTGCGAGTGCAGGTCTCCGGTCAGCCGAGCAGTCACAACCAACAGAGAACTGGAGCACTGGACCTGATGATACCATCTATGCTCCATATGTTATAAATTAGTGGGTTGTTAATAAACCAGTCGACGAAACTGAATAGTGAATAGTTTCAATGTATTAATTTTTTCCCCCTTTTTATATTTAAAGATCAAATTATGACTAAAGTTTTTTTTTTTTGTTTAGTTTTTTTTTTTTTACAAATATTAAAATATTATTAATAACTGCTGACCCACAGGTTGAAAACTACTGGTTTGGGAGTTTGTCATTTGTCAGGTCATTAAAAAATAATAATACAGTAATAAAAATAATAATAGTAATAGTAATAATACATTTGTCATTTTTAATTACTCTCTAAGCGGGGCGATAAAATTGCATTCATTCGTTCGCTTTTTTTACGGCTTATTCTCTTTATTAATCAGGGGTCACTACAGTGGAATGAACCGCCAACTTATCCATCATATGTTTTATGCAGCGGATAATCTTCCAGCTGCAATCCAAAAAACCAGAGCAACCAGAAGAAACCCACGCCAACACATGGAGAACATGCAAACTCCACGCAGAAATACCAACTGACCCAGCCAGGGCTCGAACCAGCAACCCTCTGGTGAGGCAATCATGCTACCCACTGTGCCAACATGACGCCCTTATAAAATTACAATTGAGTTGCATTTCAAGTAAATGTCTACTCTTTTGCATATTTCTTCAAATAATATAGAAGATAAATTGCACAGTTGTATTGGTAATACAAATGTTTTATCAAAAGTATTGGTTCACCAAATCAGGATGTTAGAATAATTTGGAAGCTTTAAATGGTACTGAACAATGACAAAAAAACTAAATTTATCAGAAAAAAAAAAAATCATAAAAAGTGTCATACTCAATAATGTTTCACTTATAATTAAGTAAAAAACCTTAAAAGAAAATACTTGATTTAACAACAACAACACAAAGAATAGTACTTTAGTTAAATGATACCCATTTATAAAACAACTATAAGCAAAAATTAAAATAAAATTAAAGAATTAAGTATTTTTTTTCTACAGCACATATTTAACATTGCAAAATATATATGATCTATTTATTTGATGTGTAAAAAAACTTTCGATGGCTTTTAAAAAAATTAATTAATTAACATATAATACCACTACTAATTATAAATATCAGCCAATATTTAGTAAAAATCAGATCACCAGCTTATCAGAACAACCTTCTTAAGATGCAATGAAGGACAAAAACAAACTGAATTTGATCCCATAAATGTACTCCCTTATGTGATGCATGAGTCTGCTTTGCACATTTCTTGCACGGTTTCATTTAAAATGATCATACAGTTTTTATGATCCTGCAATGTAGTGAAACATGAAGTTTATCGCACTGTGAAGTAGCTGGATACACCCAGCCATTTAATTAAGAATGCATGATTGTGCAATTCAGGCCTCAGTGTTTTGAAGCATGTGTGTGTGTTACAGAACATCACATGTAAGAAAACACACAGCATATAAACCTTATGAAGTCTGAAATGAAAGTTCACCACCGTAACAGACCTTTCAACACAAAAATGAACTCATATTTAAAATATGTGCTTTTACATTCAAAAGATGTACTGACGTAATTCATACACACACCTCACCATACTGTCAAACTGAAAAAGATGAAATTAATTTAATAAGTTCATTTTACTCCAAATTTTTAAAAGTTGTTTGTACTTGTTTTGTTTCTCTGCAATTGACTAGTGATGTATTGCAAAATAATGATTATCGTGACAGCCCTAATCTCTGGCTTATGACCATAGGTCAGAGTAGGTATGAACGGGTTGGGACCACAACAACCTGATCATCAGGCACAGAAACTAGTGCACTACCTGAAATGTTTTTGTTAATGTAAAAATATACCTCATTCTCACATTGTAGCCTTGTTTATCTTTACAAAACAAATGTGGGTGTTTGTCTGTGCAAGGTTGGAGAGGTGGTTTCCCTGCAATATCAAAAATAATATTGAATATTAATATATTTCAAGGTATCGCAAGAATATTATCAGGTATTGAAGTTAGCAATTCCAGTATTGTGACAACACTAGTATTCACAGCCTGATCCACATCTATAATGTATGTAAGTAAATATAAATAGTGTGTTACAAAAAGTTACATGAACACATTCTATCACTTACAAACACTTAATCATAACGATTGTTTTGATAATAGTTTGTGAGATTTATGCAAACAAATTGCACAACTTATTCTATAATTCAATTCGAGAATAACCTTGTAACAACAAGTGTACTGCTGCATGTTAATGAGAGATACCCATGTTCACATAAATGTTATGTTAAGTTGACTTACGGGTCAAAAACTAATCCTGGCACCATTTTAACAGCAGAAAAAAAAAATTTCTTGTTTTTTTTTTTTTTGTTTATATTTTTCTCTTGAAGGTTGTTTACTTTTTCTATTATTTATAACCCCAACATAAAAAACACATATATACATATATATATATATATATATATATATATATATATATATATATATTTGTATATGTGTGTGTGTGTGTGTGTGTGTGTGTGTGTGTGTGTGTGTGTGTATATATTCTATTTCCATATTTTGATGCAGGCTGTACACATTTAGGGTACAATGGTTGTATTTTGGGTCCATTTTTGGCCCACTAGCTATAAAACTATTGTAACACCACAAAAACTACTCGCACACAGTAGCACAAACATGCTCTGTGGTCTGTGGTCTAAATCGCATGCTGCAAAAGCGATAAGGGCATGTCTGAATCCACTTTTGCTATTTTAATGATGGAAAAAATGCTTTGCGCCCTGACACGTGGTCTAAAAGAGTTAAGCTTATACTTCTAATGAGTTATGGGTGTGTATTGAGCATAACGTGCATTAAACCAATCAGAGTCTCATCTCCCATGCCCTTTAAGAATCACATTTGCTATTTACATGGCAGAATTTGTAAGTGGAAAAACTGAACGAAACACTAGCGAGTTAAACAGAACATCTGCAGCGAAGATAAACAATGAGCCTTCTCAATTCGGCCATTCTTGTATCTATTAAAACAAATATAAATATGCATATAATAAATACTACTACTAATAATAATACTGCACAAAAGCAAATTGTCATGAATAAACTGAAAAAAGCCCCCCGAGATGAAGAAGGCATGGAAGCAGTAGTTTTATAATTATGTAAAAAATGTTTTTTGTAATATTTTAATCCTGTAATTCTTTTTCATTTGTAAAGGTACTTGTGAATTGCTGTACATCCTGTGTCTATTTAGCAATGTGTAAGTGTTTAAGGCGCATAACTAACAAGCGTTGTGCTGGACTTTAGACCAGGTTTTAGCTGGTCAATTGCGCAGTCTATTTTAGTTTGTCAAAATAGCAACGCACCAACAATGCACCTTAACACACCTCCTTTCTAGACCGGAATGCCAATTAGTCCAAAAAGCAGTGCAAATGGATTTACCATTTAAACAATGTGGTGCAAAAGCTGGAAAATTAAAGTTGTGTTGGTCTGAAAATTACAATAAATCCCACCAAACATGTCTTGCGCCTTATTACGTAGGGTGTATGATAAGGCCCTCCTACAAACAAACATCCAAACACACACACAAACAAATTAAGAATCTACTACCTTAACATTTATAAATGCTGTCTTAAAACTTTTTTTAGATTTATACAATAACTTTTAACAATAGAAAAATCAACCATTATCTTCAGTCAAAAACAAGTGTTGCCCTATGATTAAACATTGATGAAATTCTGCACACAGATGAGGGAAAACCTCAAGAGTTTGTGAAGAACAAGAGGTTGTTTTTTCACGAAAAACAGATATAAGAATTGAAATTAAGTTTAGCTGCTGTATTTTTTTTTTTTTTGCTTGGTTTAGTGAAGGCAGGTCAATTTGACCCAAAGGGCGAACTTACTTACTTACTTACTTTACAGGTTCTACAGGCAGTAAGTTTCCACAAATGTTTTGAGTATTCTGACCTCATCAGGTTTTACAGTAAAACAAACACACAAAGAGACAGCTCACAGTTTAAAAGACAAAACAAAACAAAAAAACAGGTTCACAGACTCTGCCATAAATCTTTGTTGTGTGTGTTATAGCACACTAAATGCGTGTCATTCAGTGTGTGTGTGTTGTTGACTCACCAGCCGCCACCGCCGAGCACATGACAAAGAACATGCCCACAGCGATTCTCTTCAGAGACGAGGGCAGCAGGCCTTTGCGTTTGAGGATGGGGTCTACCACTTTATCCTTGAGGGGTATCAACATGAGGATCAGCACGGCGTCAAACATGGTCAGCCAGGCCGCAGGGAAGCGGAAGGTATTCTGGGAGAAACAGGGGCAAAATTACAAGTCATGTTTACAGAACACAGGCACGAACAAAGAGAGAGCAGTGTGTAGGTCACTCGTAATGCTCAGGTGCTTTGTTCTTCTCCATTTGTCCTCCGTCGAGAAAGTAAGTACAAGCTCAAATGTGAATTCTAGGAGAGTGTTTGAGAAAGAGAGGGAGAAGCAGGAACATTCCAGCAACAGTAGCGCCCTCATGTGTCCAAAGCTGGTGTTTGGATGCAAAACTCCACATTCAGTGTGAGGTGGAAGGACAGGTCTCTTAATAGCCCATAAAATCATTAATCACTTGTTAAGTACTTTAATATCACATGGGGATTGAATAGCATGCGTCAGAGCACCTGTTTCCTAATGAATGGCTGATTGCTCCTTTCACGTGCGACTGATGTGTGATGGAAAACGCAGCAGAGAGGATAAAAAGGAATCTCACACAGCAGGACTTTTTGGGAATTGTGACAGATTTGGAAGGACAGTTTTGAGAAGGAAAATGAAAAAGCTACAGCATTAAGGAAGTTTATTTCTTAATAAAACAGGCAGTGTTTGTTAATCTGTTGTTGGGAGGTGACTTTTTTGTGTGGAAATTTAGGAATTTTTTGAGAAACATAAAATAACTTGCTTGATAAGCATTTAATGAGGAACTGAATCTGTATGTTCATGAGGGAAAATAAATTGTGCAGTGTTTGTATTCACCTCTTCTCCACGTCCAAGCCGGCACAGCCATTTGAATCTTTTAGGCTTGAGACTTCCGCTCGCATTCACTTTCATTCATTTTTAGACTCGTTATGCTGCTTAATTTTGCAAACTGATATTTTCTTATTGTATAATTCTATTTTAACTGTATAGTCATGGGCACACTTGTTTGTAGAGCAAGTAGTTTTCTGCCTTTAATATTCCTAGTTACTTTATAGGGAGCTGACTCGGAAGTTCTGAAACAATCGCAAGACGAGCGCACTTTGAGAACAAGGTCAATTCAAAATTAGAACCAAAATTAGCATCATTTAGTACCACTTGGGATTACTGAATCAGAATTTACTGATTCAGAATTTCAGAACAGTTTTGACACACTCAAAAAAAATCTATGAAACTAACAAGAATTTAAACTTTTTCATTTTAGAAGAAATAGGAAATGAGCAGGATTTGCCTATGAAAAACACTCTAGTCATTACCTTGAGACATACTTGCCAAACCTCTTGTTTTTGCTGGGATTTTCCTGTATTTTACAATTCTATCCCATTGTCATTCCGTTAAAGTATTTTCCGGTATTTCTCCTGTATTTTTAATCTTTCTATGAAAAGTGAAAGCAGCATCAAGGAGCCTCAAATGTAGTATACTTGCAAGAGTGTTTAAGAGAATTGTGCTTTCGCTTTATTTCGGCTTGACAGTAAGTTGAAATTAATGTTAAAATGGTTGCATTCACTTAATTTCCATTAACGTTATAGTATCTGGAAGCAGCCTTGAAGATGCTGGCTGAGACTGAATATCTCAGTGATGCAATGTCAGACACAATGTATTCAATGGAGATAGTGACGTCACTATGAGGGGTAGCGTTAGGTGAGCCCATTTAAAAGCGTAAGATGCAGCTTGTATAATGTAAGCTCTTCCATCCAGGCATGTTTTATTTTAAACACAACTAATTTTCTCTTAAATGAGCATAAACAGTTACAAAAGTAATTTAATGCCTTGATTTTGATTTTAGATCAGTGGATTCTTAATGAGACACCTCTGTTGTTTGTTAAACAAAACAGTGGATTAATGTCAATGTTTTTCAATTCTTCTAATGTTTGTTATGTATTCTACCATGTAAAGCTCTCAATTACCATTAAGGAGTCTGAGGTCATTTTGGAAGTTCTTCTGTGTAGACTGGGTGTGTTTGAGTTTATTTGTTTTGTTTTGTTTTGTTTATTGGGAGGGGGGTATTCAGTATTTTTACATCCCTATGTTGACAGGTATGCCTCGAGGTTGCACACACTGTAAAAAAAAAAAAAAAAAAAAAAAAAAAAAAGCTGGGTTCCACACTGTTCCCTAATGTTGGGCCAACACAAACTGATTAAGTTAACTTAATATTTTAACAAATTTAAGTACATTTAACATATAAACAATTAAACTGTCCACCCCCCAAAAAACTAAGAATTGTGTTAAAATAATTCATTTTAAATAATTATTTTGAACAAGCAGCAAAAGTCATTTTCTGAGCGCAGATGTTCTGAGAGGTTTAAAAGTCTGAATGAATTCTACATTATATACTTTGTCAACATGCATTAAGTTTTGTGGTAAATGAATTCACAGAAGAAGAAGAAAAAACGTTTTGGTAATCTTAATAAAAAATCTGATTTAGACTCTGGAGAGGCATTCCTCAGTTTGACAGAATATCCTTAAATACCCTGCACTTATCTTTGTTTTGCTTCAAGTGAAAGATGGCAAAGAGGTGTGCTGCAATAAAATGGCTTCATTTGGAAATTAATTATTTGAAGTGTATTTTTTGTGTATTGTTTAGCAATTTAAACATACTGGTTGGAAACTTTAGAAACATTTTGACAACAATGGTATGAATAAATGAATAAGGTTAAGAATAAGGATTTTTTTTATTATATTTCTTAATTATAATTCACTAATTATTAGAATATAGTTGTGTGGGAATGAATGCAGCTATCATCACTAAAGTTAACACAAAAAACACAAGCATCATTCAAGTTAGTGCTTTTCAATTTGTTTTTAATTAAATTAGCACATTCACATAAATACTGTAGATATATTAAGGTATATATATATACCATATACTATACTGTACACAATGAGCCCTGTCAAATGAAACACAGCTTACTGTGTGCTGTTCTGGGAGGATGCCAGGGATTGATATGATATTGTCAAGGTTTTTGGGGTGTTCTTGCTTACTAGCCCAAGACAGAATACCCCACACACACACGTCCGTGGTAATCTGATCTCAAGAGATATCTCCTAAATGTACCCTGAGCAAAAATTATACTTCTGGCTTAATTAAGAATCACATTTACATGTGTAGTTTAATTTAATACAGTTAAGCTACACTCTGTGTCCAGCCTTGCTATTTCACAATCTCTTACATAGAGAGTCAAAAGGGTTATATTTAACTCAGTGTTTCTCAACCATGTTCCTGGAGGACAACCAACTCTGAACATTTACCCTGGCTGTTTTTCAATTCAATTCACCTTTATTTGTATAGCTCTTTTACAATGTAGATTGTGTCAAAGCAGCTTCACATACAAGATCATAGTAAATTAAAACTGTAGTTTTTAATTCCAAGAACACAGAGAATGGACTCACGCTCATGTGGAGAGCAGTCTAGCCAAGTTATCTTGGAAAAAAAACTCTGGAGATCGTGAGAAAACAGAACGCGTCCTCTGAGAAATGAGATGCCGCGTTCTTCCATGGTTCTTCCTGATGGTCACATGACCTTCACACGTTTTTAATGGCAAACTATTTAAACATTACAGTATTCATACACAATTTAGTGTTTTTCCCCTTTTCACAATATGTACTATAAAAGCCTTAGAAATATAGTTAGTACAATACAAATAAAACTAATTTTAATATGAATTTTAGCAAATAAACACCCCTAATGTGTTTATGCCTTTATTTAGTTTTTACAGTTACCATCTCATTTAAGGACACTCCTGAGGAAAATAAGTGAAATCTCTTAACTTAATAATTTATTATAATATATAAATATAATTAATATATAATAATAATAAACCTATATAAAATGCTGCACTTCCAACCTCCTTTATTCAGCCACATTGATTCCTGTGACTTCTTGAGCGAGTTTTGAACTCGCGTCTGCATCAATGGGGCCTTAATATTAAGAACACATCCGGGAACTTGCATGCATCCTCAGTTCTTGCGGTCTTGAGTTTTAGAACTGAACTTTGGCAGTTGATAATGACAATAAACAAGAACATAAGAAAACAAGATCGCAGAAGAACGCATATTAAGAAACAGCCCATGTCTCCTTAAACTAACACACCTGATTCAGATCATCAGCTTATTAGCAGAGACTGAAAGACCTGTAAGGGGTGTGACAGACAAAGGAGACATCCAAATCAAGAAACTGTTCAAGGAACATGGTTGAGCACCACTGATTTAACCATTTATTTATTTTTGCCCTGGAGGGTCAATGAGCTGTAGAGTATATCTCCACCCTGATCAAACTGGTTTGCAGGCTCATGTGTTTGATCAAGGTTAGAGCTAAACTCTGCAGATCACTAGCCCTCCAGGCGAGATTTGAGGTTCCCTGTTCTATTACTGTAGTTAAATAACTCTTGTGGGTCAGATTTGAGGAGCTTTTCACAAAAAACAGAACATGATTAGTGGAGAGTAACTGATTAGATGAAAAAGTCAAAAGGTTGACAACTCTTTCAACTATTTATTTGCAGCTGCATATCTCATTCATGAGGTCACACTGAAGGAGAACAAGCTTTTAGGGCTGTTGAGAATTCATTAGCTAAGAAATTGGAACTTTAGCTTCAGCGTGAGCTTCATTTTTTTTGGAGGGGGGAATAATGAAGTAAGAAATGATCAAGTGAATGTTTTACTTGATCTTATCCACCAGCATCATCACATCAGGTACAATTAAATATTCAATTGTGTTGTAGACACTAAAGTAGTTCAGTTCTACTGTTCTGGCAGAGATTCAGTGCACAATCATGAATTGTGTCCTAAAGTAAAATGTTTGAAAGACAAAATGTAGAGCTTGACTATTTCTTGAGTTCTCCAAATGTCTTGTTTAACCGGATGAAGACCTGATGTAGGTCGAAACGTTTTGACCTAAAAAATGTATTTTTATCTACAGTGTTAACACAACACATTGTGTATGATCTTTGTAAACAGTATAAATAAGGTCAGAATAAGTTTGGCGTTTAATTTTTACACCTAACTATCAGTTTCTGTGAATGAGAAAGCATTTCTTTAGCCAGCCTTAAGTTCTTTGAAATATTAGACAGGGG